AAGCCTCATCTCAGGTGATGAAGTAGAGACTGCTAGTTCTCTTTAATATACGTTCTCCCCTTCTTCATTAGTGTTAGAACCATTGATTTTTAGCTGGGCCATGGCTACCCAACAGAGACTACACTTGACCGAGAGAGTACAGTGTAGTGATGTTTACAACTTCTGCAAGTGGCCTAGAATAGAGGCGTGTTCCTTTCTGCCCCTACCTCCTTTATGCTCACTGGAAAAAGGATGTAAGGAGCTTGAGCAGCCATGACGGATCATAAGGTAGAAGCTGCTTTTCAGGATGGTAAAGCCACATGATGGAAGGAGCCCATGGATCTGCTGATCAGAGAGTCACCTGCACTGACGTGAGAGTAATACATTTTATTTTCTTTAAGCTACTGTTACTTTGAGGTTTTTAGCTGTTACAGAAACCAATCCCTGTATGAAAATATATTGTTTAGGATAATTTTCTGGTGGCAGTAGTAGGAATCATTCAAAGCTATATAAAGCAAAAAGGGAGAATTATTTTAAGGACAGAAGGATTTCTCACAGAACCTATGGGAAGGGATGAAGGAAGCCTCAGTAATAGATTGGTAGCTGGTATTAAAAAGTAAGGGGAGGCCAGGAAGCCCTCTCATTGTGTCTCATCTCTCCTTCTCTTCCTTCTTACTGAAAATTACTTACATGGTTAGCACAGAGAAGCAACAAATAAATATTTGTTTGATGGATGGCAATTTGTGTGTGAGATAAACTGGATCTAAAGTCAATTCTCAAAACGTTTTGTTATATATATGTGGCTTGTTAAAGTGATTCTTTTGAAGGGGGGAATCATATTTTTCAGAGTCTAAGCTCTCTGTTAAACCCTTTCTCTCAGCTTTCCAATTTTTCCCAGTCATTTATTCCAACATCAGAAAGGGGGCCTGAAATACAGGGTTGTCCATAATTAATATAATGACAGACACTTTTGAGATTGCTCTGCTTTTGTACAGGAGTTGCAAAAGCCAGTTTTTATAAGAACACAAGCACTGGCACTCAGTAGCTATTTTGGCAGGCAAGGAAATGATAGATTAATTACTTTTGGTACATTTTCCCCATAACTGTCTTTTTTTCCCATTTCATTTTTGCATTGTTATTATTTACCAGTCTGGGTTCTCACTTATACCTAGTTTGTGCCCTTCAGGGTTTCTTATAATTCTTGCCAGCTCTTTGATATGTTTGATAAGATGTTTTATATGTTTCATTCAGCACTTTTGAGTTGCTTTTGGTTTGAGAATCAGCCAGAGTCTCTAGTCTGCCATACTACTGGACACAAAACTTCAATATGCTTTCACTTCATTCATTTATAAGATACTCACCTGCATTCCAAACACCAGGGCCCTAACTCTGGTGGCCTAAGCTCCCCATCCACAAAAATGAAGAATAACTACCTTTCCACCTGCATCAAATTTTTTTTTTGTACAAGACTCACATAATCATTAATATGAAGTCAGTTTGCAACTGGAAAATACCATGAAAATACACATTTTCTTAACTCTGAAAACAAAACGGAGGCAAACAAGTAATAAAAGTTATAACTAAGGGTAACAACCTTAGAATGGTTTGTTCGACTTAAAATTTCTGTATCTTTGCACTCATCTCCTTTTTTTCTGGCCCAAAGTATAAATGAGAAAGTCCTAAGATAAAAAAACAATGTTATTTTATGTTATAATTGACATTAATTTTATAATTTACACTTTTAAAAAATAAAGAGAAAAACATAAAGAGAAAAAGGCAATCTTGAGCACACTATAAAATCTTTCACTTTTTTCTTTTTGAGATGGAGTCTCACTAAGATGGAGTCTCACTCGTCGCCCAGGCTGGAGTGCAATGGTGCGATTGGCTCGAGGCAACCTCTACCTCCCGAGTTCAAGTGATTCAAGGTTCAAGTGATTCTTCTGTCTCAGCCTCCCAAGTAGCTGGGATTATAGGCTCCGGCCACCACTCCCGGTAATTTTTTATATTTTTGGTAGAGATGGGGTTTCACCCTGTTGGCCAGGCTAGTCTTGAACTCCTGACCTCAGGTGATCTGCCCACCTCAGCCTCCCAAAGTGCTGTGATTACAGGCGTGAGCCACTGCACGTGGCCTTTTGTTTTGTTCTTTTGAGACAGGGTCTCACTCATCCAGGCTGGAGTGCAGTGGCGCCATCTCAGCTCACTGCAACCCCCGCCTCCTGGGTTCAAGTGATTCTCCCACCTCAGTCTTCAAGTAGCTGGGACTACAGGCGTGCGCCACCATGCACAGCTAATTTTCGTATTTTGTTTTTTGGTAGAGATGGGGATTCACCACATTGGCCAGGCTGGTCTTGAATTCCTTACCGCAAGTGATCGCCCACCTTGGCCTCCCAAAGTGCTAGGATTACAGGCATGAGCCACCGTGCCTGTCCAGATCTTTCACATTTTTAAATTTTGTGAAATAGCTGTCCTTTTCATATGTGGGTAAGCTATCAAACTTAAGATGCTCACAGTTTTTACATACTTTGTAGGCTGAGATTCTGAGTGTCTAACATTCTGTAATGTATCTTGGTCTCTGTGCTGCAAGAACACTGAAGTATTATTATAGGTAACAATCTACGTCACTCTTCTCAAACAGTGCTAACAGGTTACGTACTCAAGAGGAACATCTTTCAGTATATTTCAAAAAGCCTCATGGATGGTAGGTGATTTGTAAATGGACCAAACACAGGACTCAGGCATATGGTTACTGTTTACTATTTCCTGTAGATCACGATGTCTTAGGTCTTATGTAGAATATATCATAGGACTTATCCTCTAAACATTCACACACCAAGACTGCACTCTGCATGCATACCATTCACTCATTCTGCATTTACTGAGTCCAGTCCCACTGCATGTCAGACCTTGTGCCTGTTCTCAAGAAGCTCACAGTCTAGGAAAATGGAGAAATACAGCTACAATTATAACTCTATGTGATAAGTATTACAAAGAGATACGGTGTTATGGAAGCACTGGTAGGGGCACTTAGCCCATACCGGAGTGGCTGGGATAGGGCTGAGTGGCCAACAGGGAAGGGTTCACAGGGGAATTGATGTCTAGGATAAATAATGAATAACAAATAACTAGCAAGGCAAGGAAAAGGTAGGAGATCAAGACATAAAAAGAAACAGCATATGGAAATACAGGGTTGTGAGTACAGCAAGACTGGGGAGCCCAAGTGGTTTGCTGTATATTTAATTTATTCATTTCACGTAGCTATTACTGACATACTTGTCTCCCTATATATGTTTGAGTCCGTGAATGGTGGGGACTTTGTAATGGTTTCTCTGTCCCTATGTCTAACAGGAAGCACACAGATGGAGTGCAATAAAATGTCTGATGAATGAATGACTAGCTACGTGATATAAGGGAGAATAGTTAGGAGTCCATTAATAAGAAAGGTCATTTCTAGTGGCAATGAATATCAGATAAGATAGATTTAAGAATTATTTAGAAATTAGGATGAATAAGACTTGGTGATACATTGGTGATGGGGTATAAAATAAGAAAAACTGACTTTCTAGGTTTCTGGATTACAGATGCATGATAATAGTTATAATGGTATAACAACAATAGCTAATATTCATCAGGCACCCTGTGTCATGAAGTATGCAAAGTGTTTACATGAATTAAGCCATTTAAACTCTCAATGACTTAGCGAGGCAGGTTCTTGTATACTCATTCACTGATGAGAAAATTGGCGCTAGAGATTCATTTGCCTAAGGTCACTCAGCTAGCAGGTGGCAGGCTCAAACCCAGTAATTCTGACTCCAACAGCCATACACATAGTCTACTTTTCTTTACTGCCTCTAATAGATGAGATTAATACCCAGAATGATGGTTCTATTCAATATGTGTATCACATAAATTGCACGTTTCTCTTTTGCTAAACATAGAGACACATACTATGACTGCCTCTTTATTTTTTCCGATTTTGGGGATCTTGGCTCTTTCTGTATTTTTCCTACCTGGAAGACTTAAAGTGGGGTGGAAGTTTGATAAAACAGTTGGCACAAAAGATGAGAGAAGACAGGTACAGGCGTGACATTCTCGAACGCTCTGGCAGTTGCTGGAATGATGGGATCTGGGTTCTACAGGATTCCTCCCCTCCCATCCCCCGCCACACACACACGTCGTAAGATGTATATGGCCGCGGAGTCTCAGGTTGGTTCTAGGAGTCCTCAACTCACGGCGAAGATGCCTCTTCTCCCTCCTGGAGAGCCCAACATGCCTGAAGTCAACCTGAGGCGGCCTCTCGGGCCCCGGGAAACAGCGCAGCTCGGCCTCGCCCTTGTTCCCAGGGAAACCGCCCGCGGAGGAACCTGGGGCCAGGCCCGTGACACCTGCGACGAGCCCCGCCTGGCGCCAGGGGGCGCGGAAGCGCGTCCGCCCCCAGGCCCCACGCCGGGCCCGCCCCGCCCCTGCCGGCCACACCCCCCTCGCCCCGCCCTCCCTCCGTGAGGACCGGCCGCTCCCGGCTCCCGGCTCCCGGCACTCGGCCCCGGCCCCGCTTCCGGCGCAGGCGCAGTCCCGCGTTTTCTCGGCGGCTGCCGGCGTAGTGAGCCCGCCACCGTGGAGTGTAGCGGGAAGGGCTCGCCGTCCTCCTCCGCCTCTCGCTGCTTCGGGGCGCGCTCTCTGCGGCTCTGTGAGCGCCCGTGAGCGCCGGCAGCGGCCGCGGTGGGTTCGTCAGGTGAGTGCTGCCGGGGGAGGGAGAGGCCCGGAGCGTGGAGCACCGCCCCCCTCGGCGCCCGCGCGCCCGCCTCCGGCGAGTCGGCCAGGAGGGGCGGCCGCGGCAGGTGCAGGTGCCGGCGCCGTGGAGGGCGCGGCGCGCGGGGGTTCGGCGGGATGCCCTGGCCCGGTGAGCGCGCTCTCCGCCTGGGCAATTGGGCTCCGGGCTCTTGGGGGCGGCGTGTGGGGGGACCTCGGCGCCCCGGGTCAGCCGGCCGCCCCCTGGGCTGCTGGTGGGCGCCGGGCGGCGGCTCCTCCCCCGGGCACGGGCGCGTTACACATTAACTGCGCGGTCCCGCGCGCCCGGGGCAGGGAGCCGGAGCCCGGCGGGTTACCTGGCGGCGGGCAGTTGCGGCCGGGAGCGGAGGGTCGGGTCGCGAGGGGGATGAAGACGGAGTTCCCGAACAAGTCGGAAGCCGCTCACAACACCGGGCGCCGCGCGGCAGGGCTGTGGACGGGGCAATAGCTGTGGACCTGGGGTGTTTTCGTGCCCCTGTCTTAGGAAACGACGCGTGAGGCACCGTGCCGAGGCGTAGAGGTCACCCTCGGGAGGTTTCGGTGAAACCTGGTGGGAAATTCCGGGCAGGCGCCCGGAGTCGCGTCCGAAGAGGCAGCTCCTTGCAGCCAGACTTGTGTTCGGGGGAGTTGAGACGAGCTGCACGGGTGGGATTGCACGGCTCTGCCCTCCCAGCGTCGACAACTCGCACCGACCGCCCGGGGAAGCGCGAGCTTCCTGGCTCCAGAAGTGATGATCCTGGGTGGAAGCCGCAGCATGTAAACAGTTGCCGGTTGTTATGGGATTAAAAAAAGATATATCTGCAATGGCTAAAGGGTAAGGTCTTGAAAGACAAGAGCGCTGAGTTAGTACTGATTACTGAGAGGCAATTTAGTTTCATGGAAATGTTGCTTGTTCGGAGGCTACCTGTTATACACTCTCCTGTTTCACCCCAACTCCTTCCTTTCAGTGTCGGGTTAAAAGCCTTGTAATCTCTTGCAGTGGAATGATTGCATAATTGGAGGAGGGGCCCGTAAGAGGATTACAACAAAACTGTTCCATTGTAAATCAATTGAAAGACCCAGTTCTTGTTCATTATCCTTTTTCTCATTTTGTTGTTCATGAAGGTTTTTTTTTCCCCCCCAGTGGTGAATGACAAATCAAGGAGAAAAGAGGCAGAATAGGGTTGTAGACTAATCGTAGTAAATATTTGATACTGTTAAATATTTCACCAGTTTTATGGGGCCTTGTACTGTTACCATTTGTTATTTATTTACTAGTACTGTGCATTTTGATAGGACTTTTCGTGTTTGGACATTGTATTCTAGATATGGCTTATGTGATCTAATCCTAAAGCCCTTGTGGAATTTACAGAAATAAACAGTTATACAGTTAAGTAGTCCATTTTTTAACTATTGAAGGAAAAGCCTTTCATTTTTTTCCATTACAGTAATGTTATATATTAATGTATACCTTTGTGAACCAAAGTGTTTAATATAACTCTTCCTTCCGTGTTTGGCAGACAACTCATCTGTGGTATTGAATACTTGTAACCTTTCACCAGGATGGCCATTTAATGTTTAGCTGCTTTGTGGGTTTTCTGAATAGATCCTATTGTACTTTTTGAATTAGTGTAATTATCCATATGCTTCCTTTAATATTCTTTACCTTTGATTTTGTGTAAACCCTCATCCTCTCCCAACACACACATCCTCTGCAAATAATTTTTAAAATGGAAATGTTCTTAGAAATCTGTTTCACCCCCTCATTTTTTAAACATGGCAGGAAAAAATACCTTGTAGATTACAGTAGTTTTATATGCATTATAATAGTTAGTATACTTTTTTCCCCCTCAGCAGGAGTCAGTGAACAAATTAGTGAGCTGGCTGAATGAAAAATTATTTAATGTTCAGTTCCATCACTTACTGTGCATAAAACCTTGAGTAAACATTTAACCTATTTGAGCTTATTTTCTCCATTTGTCAGTGGAAATACTATTAGGTTGAAATTGCTGATATTCTGCTGTTTTTTATGTTTCAACCTAATATGAACTTCATAGTGGTGAGATGAGGATTTAATAAGATACTCCATTAGAGATGTGGGGAAGGGGAGAAGGAACCGATGTGAGCTTGCTTGTGTGCAAGGCACTGTGTGTGCTTGTTTTCCATACCTTGACTCCTCAGTCCTCTGGACATTCCTGGGATATAGGTGACTTGTCAAATTTTACAAATCAGGAAATGGAGGCTTAGAAAGTTGCGATAATTTGTCTATAGTTACTTAGTTGTAGGTGGTCATACAGCTGGCCAGTGACAGAGCCAGTATTAAAAACTGTATCCAACTGCCCAAAATGGAACTTAGTGCTCTTATTCCTTACATTCCTGGTCTGCACTTTCTATTAAAGAACTTTGTAACTATAAGGAGGCACACAGATGACAAGTGTTACCATTTGTATTTCTGGTTTAAAAATACCCAAGTTTTCTAATGACGGTGATACCAGCCTTGCTACTGCAGTTACTTTTAAGTCTAGTGCTTATCAAGCCAAGTCCTGGTATAAGCTTTATACTAACTCACTCACTCTCACAGTGAGCTAGGAGATAGTACTTTATCCCTATTTTGTAGTTGAGAAAATTGAGACGCTGAGACCTTATGTAGTTTGCTCAAAGTCATATAGTTAATTAAGTGAGAGGTCTGGATTAGATGTCAGTTTGTCTTCTGCGTCTGTGCTGTTAACAACTACACTCTGTCATTTCTTCATGTATAAGTGGTAATGCTGAAGAATTACTTGCTCATAATCACTGCATTATCACTTCTTTGTATGTAGCTTATAATGCTGAAGAACTGTTTGTAATTTAGCTTTTATGAGATATGTAATATTAATGTAATATGTAATTCTAATGTGTCACCAGAGATTTTTTTTATATCATATACTCAACTGAGCATCTACTCTGCAAGTCACAGTAGGGGTTAAAGGAAACAATTCTTAAGGAATATGGGAGGTAGGGCCTTATAATCATTCCCATATCTTTGATAAGTTCTTCAAAATGTAGAACACACGTTACATATTTTAATGACTGTCAACTAAGACAAAGTGCTAGGATAGTTGAGTAGTGGAGAGGAAGAACAGATGGGTAGTGGGTAGAGATATTTGTGCATTGAGGTAATGAGGGAAAGCTTTGAAGATATTCCGAGGGAGTACACTTTTTCAAACTAAACTTTTGTCCAATATAATTCTGATTAAGATGCAATTCAACAAAGCATAGTAAATTGGTTACTATGCATTTGATATCCTAAAAAACAAAATATCTGAGCTTTTGTAAACTGCTTTCTAGCTAGTTTGTCCTTTTTTTGTACTGCTGTCCTTAATTGTACCAGGTAGTACTCTTATAAAAAATTTTATGCTTTTGTAATACTGAGTATCTCTTTTTTGGTATTATGAGCTTTGATATTTGTGTTGTATTTGTAACTGTTTCTAGGGACCTAGAAACATGTTTGTTGACAAGGTGGTCTCTTCCTCTAGTCTACAAGGTCTTTGAGAGTAGGGCTTACCTCATTTTATAGCTTTAACATTGGGCCTGGTAGGTACTGTGCTGTGTTTGGTGATGGATGATCAGTTGAAGAATGTTAGGGTGTATTGAAGCTGATCTAGCAGCAGAAATTGAAATGAACATTGAGTGAGAAATGAAGGGACAAAGGAAGGAAGAGGAAGATACTTACACAACTGGGAGCATTAACTTGCTATCTCTATTTTCCCTTCCGCTTTCTTTTTCAACTTACAACTAAATGAGGTAGTTTTATGAGCTTACATCTTACATAGTCTTGGTTAGAGAAAAGTGGAAAAAGTAATCTGATTTATCTTAGAATATAGGCAACATGAAATTAGATAACTATAGCCATAAAGTGATATTACTTAGAGGAAAAAGAATGAAAATTATTCAAATAGTTCAAGTTCATGGAAGATTTGATGCTTGTAGTTAACAACAGGATTGTAAATATAAGCATAATGGCAAGTTGATGAAATTCTCCTCAGGGGTACGGATATAAGTATATGAATTGACAGTTTTTAGTATAAAGAAACTCTATTCAAGAATGTGAGAATGCCCTATAAGCATAAAGGAGCATACAGATGATAGCTTAGAACCACTTAAATAAGTGAATTGTAATTTGATATGCCCAGATAAAAGTAATAGTATTGAATATTTGTTTGGAGGCACCTGGTTGTCAGATAAGGATAAAGTATGAAAGAAAAACCAAAATAAGTTTGAAAAAACAATAAGCAAATTTGTATCAGTTCCCTGTGGGGAAAAGAATCATATTTGAACCACATGCCTCAGAAAGACTGGTTTTCCCCTTCTTTCCCTTTTATCTAAGATAAATAAAGTTCCTTCTGATTTGTAAGACCCATCTCCTTCAGTATGTTTTTGCTATTTCCCCCCATTACTTTTTTTTTCTTAGATCTTCATAAAATCGTACATTTATATTGTGCTTTACAACGTGTACAACATTTTTACATTGATGTGCCATTTGATTTTCTCAAATGTAGGCAGGGGAGATAATACCACTACCATTATAGATGTCAAAACTGAAGCTTAGAGAGATTAAATGACTTGTGTCAGTTCGCACAGCTTGTCAGTGACAGAATCTGAACTAGAAGGAAGGTTTTCTGAAATTAGTCTGTTAAAATGCTCAGGTTTTCTCAAACTTCAATTTCTCCAGTTTTGATACTCTCACGAGGTACTTACTGTTTCATTTCTATCTTTTTCAGCAAAAATGTAGCCTGAATAACTGTCTCCACTCTTTACTGCTTTGCTATTCATTCGTTCTCTAAAGACTCTTGTTTATTTATTCAGTCAGTGCATACTTCAGCGCCTATTGAATGTTTAGTTGACATATATTCTTAAGAGGATATATAAAATGAGGCTTCCATTATTGAGAAAAAAAAATTTGGAAAATGATTTTTTAAAAAAATTATACTTTTAAGTTCTGGGATACATGTGCAGAAGGTGCAGGTTTGTTACATAGGTATATACGTGCCATGGTGGTTTGCTGCACCCATCAACCCGTCATCTACATTAGGTATTTCTCCTAATGCTATCCCTCCCTAGCCCCCAAGTCCCCGACAGACCTGACAGGTGTGATATTCCCCTCCCTGTGTCCATGTGTTCTCATTGTTCAACTCCCACTTATGAGTGAGAACATGCAGTGTTCTGTTAATTTAAACGATTAACAGTTACTCCTGACAGTTACTTGAGGTCAGGAGTTTGAGACAAACCTGGTCAACATGGCAAAACCCTATCTCTACTAAAAATACAAAAAATTAGCTGGGTGTGGTGACGGGCGCCTGTAAGCCCAGCTACTCAGGAGACATATGTTGCAGTGAGCCGAGATTGTGCCACTGCACTCCAGCCTGGGCAACAGAGCGTGACTGCATCTCAAAAACAAAAACAAAAACAAAAGTATTGTGGAATTAGTGGGAATTCATTTGTGATCTGTTTTAATAAAAATGGGAAAATTGTGTAGCCTGATTGATCATTTGACTAATTTTGCCCTTGGGCTATTAATTATATTCGCATTTATAGACCGAGAACGCTTCTTAAAAGATAAATGCGATTTTTTTGGTCATAACTAAAATGCTAGTTTGGGAAGCCAACTTTAACATTATTATGAAAGCTAATGAAAAAAATGACTTTATATATATACTTGTTTTTTCCTCCTTTATTATACAGTATTGGAATAAATTTTGAACTTCCCTTTTTATTTTGAGAGCATTATAATTACGGAGAGTTTCAAATAAGATAAGTAGACACAATAGTGTAATAAACCTGAAAGTTTCCATCATG